TAGCTCAAGCAAATAAATTATGGAAACTACGAGTCTGGTTTGTTAAATGAAAGTAAACTTTACTGTAGCTTAAAAAACTATGACTAAAGATCTCACCCATATAAGTTTTCTTTGTTTTGGGGCTGGTTTTATGCAAGCCATATTTGAAGTGGATTTTCCACACATTGAATGTGGTTAAAATAAAAATCAAATTGATTTTCATTCATCTATGTAAAAGAAAACAAGATAGAACGCTACAGTCGAGCAAGCCCGACAGTAAAATAGCCTGTACTCTCCACAAAAAAGGAAAATTAAAAAAAAAAATATTAAAAAAAATTAAGTTGTTTAAAAAAAATTAAATTAATTAAGAAAACGTTTTATGTATCAGAATAAAAAAAAACTTGACCTGCCTAGGGCTTAGGGGAACCTGGATACCAAGTTTGGTAATTCTAGCTCTTGTACCTTCTGAGATCCTTGCGCTCATACAGACGGACGGACGGACAGGCGGACATGGCTAAATCGACTCGGCTTGTCACCCTGATCCAGAATATAGATACTTTGTGGGGTCTGCCACGCCTCCTTCTGTGTGTTACATACATTCGCACAAAACTAGTATAGCCTTTCACCCTTTGGGTACAGGCTATAAAAATTACTCCATAATCAAATACTTTCTTTCTGCTCTTGATAATATTTAGCACTTCGATTTATTACACATCGTTGGACGTGCATTCGCAACTTCTTTCCTCCACTCCCTCACTTCGGTAGGGGATTAGTATAATGTATCTGATGGGTTTCTAGTCCTACCCGCTGGCTAATATTATAAATAAAGTGACGGATTTCTCGTTTTTGTGCCTCTTTCGCATTATACGCTCATTTGTTCGTCTTTCTGTGTATGTATAATTTATTTTCACAAGTTTGAGGCGCGTGCATCCAACGACTTTAATGTTAAATAAATAAGGTATGTATGGGTATACTATATGCATAAATATATTGAATAGCTAACGAAACGATTTGTTTGCACGCCATATTAGAGAGCCGAGTTGCGTTTTCCACTTGCTTCTTTATGAAATTTGCCAAATAATTAAATAATCACTAATGAGTGTCGATAATTGGGTTAAGCCAAAAAAGTGCGTTGGTGCTTTTTAAGTGGCCGCAACAACAACAACAGCAACAACAACAGCAACAACAACAGCAACAACAAAAGCAGCAACAATAGCAGCAACCACAACAACCATTAACCACGAAGCGACCAACCAACAACATTTTGTTGTATGCCAACCAGTTGCCAAAGTATTTTAATTTGTGTGAAAATATTGTACAAACAAATAAATCAACAATAACAAATAATAACAATAAAAATAAATATTATATTATACTCACACAGAGACCCAGACACACACACACACACCCATAGAGACACGCACGCACACACACTTGCACAGAAAGCGACGTCATCTATCTGTGAAAAGTTGGTCAAATATTTCAATACATACATATGTATGTATTTATATTTAAAAGAGGCACGTGTATATGTAGACAGATTTTTGTAAAGTCACGGCCACACGGCGCATGCGTCACAAAATGCTTAAAACAAACAAAAAGCGAACCATTTTAAAGTAATATAAACAAAAGGAACTTACACACACATACATATACACCAAAAATAAGTAATGCAAATATTTTATGAAAAAAATGTAGATCTAACACTGAGTAGCGCACAACAACAACAAACAGTCGAATAAAAACAAAAAACAATCATCAAAGTTTCAATTGAAACTAATTAAAAAAGTTTGGATCAGGGCTTAAACGAAAGAGCGGCGCCACGCTTTTTAAAGCAAATAAATAAATAGATAAATGACTAAAGGTAAATAAATACACATGCATGTGCTGTACAGTGTACACTTTTGGGCTTTTACTATTTGTTTTACGTCACGCAAATGCCAAACAAAACGAACCGGCCGATGCCCGAAGTCCCCCTAACAAACATTAATGAGCCACTGGAACTGGAACTGGCACTTGAATTGCTTTGTGGAATGAAAATATTTAAGCACATATTAGAAGTGCACACAAGAGCGCGTAAATTTCATTTACAATATGCATGAAAGATATAGATATATGTACATACGTGTATATACGAGTATATAAATAGATGAGCCAGTGGCACGTTGATTTGACTGACTGAGCACATAAACAATTAAACCAAAATATTTGCGCTCTTCAATTATTTATTAGATTATGCTGACATTAATTCTCTTTGAAATGACAGCGAGAACACAGCGAAAAGTGAGTTGTGAGTGAAGCACACAAGTCGAACTATTTACAGAAATATTTTGCTGCCATTTGAAAGAGTTTATCATCTTTTGCAGCAGCTACTGTGAGCTGTCAGAGCTTGGGCGCCAAAAAGACACACAGGGGCACTTAAATAGCAAAATATTAGTCGTCCTTATATGAGTATACTATATAATATAAGTAAAAGTGCATCGATGGAGTGAAATATTACATGAAATTGGCTATTATAAATTAAATGTTCTTTTAAACGAATACTGTGTAATAAATGCAAAATAATAAATATATAAAAAAAGCCTTATGAAAATAATGGAAAAATATCATTTAAAACGAGCCTTGCCTGCGCAAAAGCTTCACTTTGGCACAAAAAACTAAGCCGCACTGCTCATACAAAAACTCTTTAAAAACGTATCTTTTGTTTGACAGTGGTATTATAAAGTGAACTGACATGGCCGACCTCAATATATTATCTGGGGCCATCAAAAAGATGCCTCGATGTTAGGTTTCATCACGATATCTTTGAAGCCGTGCGAGGATTTAATCAGAAGAGACATATATGTAGACGCAAATACTGAAATTTGTTAAATTCCTCATTGGCTCAATTACCTATGGTATTATGAAATAATGCTAAATCGGAAACTGATAAAAAGTATAATTTTTCGACACACACCCGCTATGGCCAAATGCCTGAACGAACAAGTTATAGGAAAGAGCAACGCCCAATTGTAGGCTTTAAAATGTTCGCAACAGATCATCCAAGCGTGCACAAAGATTATCCAAAGGAATTTACGCACATTTCCACTTCCATTTCAGGTAAAACGTAATTGAATCAAAGATTTTCATTGAGAAATGAGCACACGAGCACTAAAACAGTATTGCAGCTCATATAATGTTATGGCCATGATGATGATACTGATGAGGACAGAAAACTTCTCTCTCCCTCTCTCTTTCATATACACACACAGAGAACCAAACGCACGCATCCCATCAGGTCGGATGCCAAGATATGCAAATGAAAACTGCGAAAGGGTTAATATGCACACGCACAATGACGGAAAAGGCGTCAAGAAAATGCTCGGAAATGCCTGCATTTTTGTTTACAGCCCAAATTAAAATGTGCTTAATCCGTGGCCATAAAAGTGGCGAGTGCCGCTGGTCGTTGGTCTGCAGGCCGCCGTCGCCGTCGCCTTCATCATTGTTATGAGCGTCGCCTGTGAACCTCTGTCTAAATATTACGAGGAAGTAGCGCGCGTGCAGATTGCATCAATGAACTGCAGACGTCCAGGTAGATTCACTTGGCCAGAAACTGGGTCACTTTTGCAATGACTTGCCGAAAAAATTGGTTACCATTGCAGCTAAGATGATGCTCCCCGTCTGTGTGGCTGTCTCCATGCCCATCCATATACATATGTACACACATATGTATGTATATGTGTGTATGTACTTATGTAGCTGAATATTGATTGTGTGTATCCGCTTTGCTTGTGGTTTTACAATTTCCTATTGCGAATGTTGCGCGCCGCGTGCCAAGCGTTTTCGCTCTGGCGTTCAGCCGGCGATGTCGGCGGCGAATGTGAATGAATGTGACATTGGCGTACCTTAACCTCAAATGTGCATGCCAAAAGTGTTCGAGTGTGTTTGTGTGTGTGTGTGTGTGAGTGTGCGAGAATGAAAAACTGACAGAAGGCGCAGCGCGCCAAAAAACAACATGAAACGAAGACAGACGCGCCACTGTATGCGAGTGTGTATGTGAGACGAGCTTTAAAAAAAATTAATAATGTCTTCTTTAGTTCGGTTTGGCGGTATCATTCTTTTTGTTATCGGCCTAAACGACGCCTACAACAACGACGATGAAGACGACGAAGACGACAGCGATAGCGACGCTTAGCTTGAAGCTGCAGCTGACGATGATGTTGAGTTGAGTTTCGTACCAAAAAATTGAATGCCGGCTACGCTGTCGTTGATACTGAGAAGAAGGGAATATACTAGCAGGGGAAGGTTGGAGCAAGGGTGGCCACACAGACACAGATACAGACACACCCCAGTGCTCCCCCGAAACAAAAAGCCTGTGCTGGCGATTATTGATCGCATTAGAGAAAATCGTTACTTGTAATATGGCGTCGGTCTCAATCAAAAAAGCGGCATGCATTTGTATTAGTGTGAGTGTCTCGGCGCAGCTGTGCTCCGCACACACAACACGACACATACACACACATATTAAATATAGCACGTCACTCGCAGGGCGAGGGCGTTTCTCAGCTCTACTTCTGTTTTAGCTCCGCCCATCGACGCCGTCGTCGTAGTCGTCGTCAATGGCAACCAAAGCAACTGTACGCTCTGTTGATGCAAGAGCTCTGTTAAACAGCAATAACAGTGATTATGCTGCGGCTCAGCCAATGCGCTTGCGCCTGGTGGTAGCTCGACATGTGTGTGTACGTAAGAGAGAGGTACGCTGTCATTGGTAGAAGGTGGTGGTTAAAAATGTGTGTCTCAGTTTGTTGTATCGCTGTTGCTGCCTGTGTGTGTGAGACAGATAGCAATAGGCCTGATGGCAGAGAGCGTAGAGTGTGAAGCGAGCGGTGGTTTTCTTGCTGGCTCTGCTGTTGCTGCTGCTGCGGCGGGCAGCGACTGCGCCGCACTTGAGCGCGGCTCGAACAATATTTGTTGGCAGCAAGCGCAAGCCAAATAGTAGGCAAGCGTTCCCCTCTGCAAACAGTCACATTCAAGAGCTCAAGCCAAAGAGTACTCGAAGCGGACCAGCAGCATACAGCCTCAGCGTAGAGTTCCACAATTGTCTAGTAATTTTGTAGGCCACCTACAGCCATCCACGACAACAACAACAACATCATCAGCAGCAAAAACAACTGCAACAGCAACTACAACATTTGACAGCGGCGACAGCGACAGCAGCTCAGCAAAAAGAAGCAGCCTCAACGTGAAGCGTAGCTGTCCGTGTCTCGGTTTTACTAACGCCTGTAAACGCTTCTATCACGGAACGTTTTGCCTCGCCGGGCATTCTCGTTCGTGCGTCGGTTCGTGCGGCGGTTCGTGTGCGTGAGCAGCGGCCCCAGAAATTCCAAAATAGAATCATATTTGCCACGTTTATTTTATTGCCAAATTTGCACAAAGTATCAACGACGGCGTTTGAGAACAAATAAATTAATCAGAGTGTTTAGATTGATGACAACACCAGCAGCAACATCACCACCAACAGCAACAGCAACAACTACAACGACAACTCAAGTGCAAGTTGAACAAACATAAAAGAGCGAAGAAAAAAAAAAACAAAACAAAAAATACAAAATATTAAAGCCAAATAAATTCAAATCCATTCAACAAGCAAAAGCAACAAAAGTGACGAAAGAGTGCAATGAATGAAATGAAATTGGCAAATGGCCAAAAGTGTAAACATTAAATTGAAATCAAAAATTAAATGAATACAAGTGTTGCAATTTGTAAACGCAGTTAACTAAAGTGAACATAAAACACAAGAGTTAGGGGGAACAAGAAACGGGTAGCTGCAACATTTTTATTTTTTCCCAAATTCGCGCCACTTAGACGCGAACTTTTTGAAATAAATTTTCCCCTGTGAACCAGAGCGCAAAGCAAAGCCGGCAACATAACGGCGCAACTATTGAACAGTTTCCTGAAGGGTTCACCCCACCAGACGACGATTGATATCATGCAGAAGCTCTATTCGGAGCCGCCAAGTGGTGCACCGGTCAGTATGACCAGCGCCGGTGGCGGCCCCAGTAGTGCTGGCAGTCAACCACCGGGTGGTGGTGGAGGCGGCGGGGGTGGTGGTAATGGCGGCGGTGGAGCTAGTGGTGCCGGAAACAGCAGCAGCGCCAATCCAAATCCCACCTCAAATGGCGGCAGCATGAGCCCGCTTGCCCGCTCCGCATACACAATGAATAGCATGGGTATACCGGTGGGTGGCATGTCCTCCGTCTCTCCACAAGCAGCTGCGACTTTCGGCTCCAGCGTTCTGGACTCTGCCGCCGCAGTGGCCAGCATGAGCGGCAGTATGGGTGCAGCAGCGGCAATGAATTCCATGGGAGGAAACTGTATGACGCCCGGCTCGATGAGCTATGCATCGATGGGGTCTCCGTTGGGTAACATGGGTGGTGGTATTGGCATGACAGCGTGCATGTCGGCAGCCGGATTACCCGCCTATGGTAGTATGCCCTCAGGCCGTCCAGACTGTGGCCCTGAATCCCCGAATTCAATGGGACGACCCCGTGTGGACAAACCGACAACATACAGACGCAGCTATACGCATGCCAAGCCCCCATATTCGTACATCTCGTTGATCACAATGGCCATACAGAATAATCCGACGCGCATGCTCACGCTCTCGGAGATATATCAGTTCATAATGGATCTGTTTCCCTTCTATCGACAAAATCAGCAACGCTGGCAAAACTCCATACGCCATTCGCTATCGTTCAACGATTGCTTCGTTAAAATACCACGTACTCCGGACAAGCCAGGCAAAGGGTCCTTTTGGACGCTGCATCCCGACTCCGGCAATATGTTTGAGAACGGTTGCTATTTGCGTCGCCAGAAGCGCTTCAAGGACGAGAAGAAGGAGGCCATTCGTCAGCTGCACAAGAGTCCCTCGCACAGCAGCCTGGAGGCCACCAGTCCGGGCAAGAAGGATCACGAGGACTCACATCATATGCACCATCACCATCACAGTCGTCTGGATCATCATCAGCATCACAAGGATGCAAGTGGGGGCGCGCTGAGTGGCGTAAATGTGTTGAGTGCAGCCCACAGCAAGGATGCTGAGGCCCTGGCCATGTTGCATGCGAATGCCGAACTGTGTCTGGGTCAGCAGCCACAACATGTGCCCACGCATCACCATCAGCACCACCACCAGCTGCAGCAGGAGGAGCTGTCCGCCATGATGGCTAATCGCTGTCACCCCTCGTTAATTAGCGACTATCACTCGTCGATGCATCCACTGAAACAGGAACCCTCCGGATATACGCCCTCCAGCCATCCGTTCTCGATCAATCGCCTGCTGCCCACAGAGTCCAAGGCGGACATCAAGATGTACGATATGAGCCAATATGCTGGCTATAATGCGCTCAGTCCACTCACCAATTCACATGCTGCCTTAGGCCAGGACTCGTATTATCAGAGTCTTGGTTACCATGCACCGGCCGGAACCACGAGCTTGTGACATCACCAGTATCCACTGGCTTAAGGGCGAGCGGACCAGATGCTGCGCACCAATGCGGCGGCCACAGCGAGCAGCATCTTTGGCCACCACCACCATCATCATCAACAACATCAGCAACATCAACAGCATCAGCAACAACAGCAGCAGCAACAGTTGCAGTTGCAACAGCAACATCTGCAACAGCAACAGCAGCAGCAACAACAGCAAGATGCAGCGCAGCAACTGACATCCGCCTCAACGACCACTGCAGCATCATCAGCATCGTCATCGGCCACAACAACCAGCAACTCACATCAGCAGCAGCAGCAACAGCAACAACAGCAACAAGAGACAGCACAGCTGCAACATCAACGCAAGGTTGCCGCAGCTTACTCCAAAGCTGCCGCCAACTACACGCAAAAGCTGCAGCATCAGCTGCTACAGAGTCAGCTATCGCCCGAACTTCAAGAGGACTCCTCCAACATCACCTCTGACCTCAACGAGGAGCAGCTGCAGCAGGCGCATCAGCAACAGCAACAGTTGTACAACAACTATCAGCAATATGCGGCAGCGGCCTCCTATCGCAATTGGAACCACAGCCTAACTTTAAATGGTGCGGCGGCTCTCCAGAATTTGCTGTAGCGTAGCGGCAACGGAGACGGTGGCGGTGGCAGTTACCACTAAACACTGAACACAAGGCAGCCCTTTGTGTGAACCACTAGAGGGGCCTAGTGAATGCGGCCCGTGTTCCAATTAGCGTTCGGCCTTCAAAAGACACACCGCCGACTTAACTACCAACGTCGTCATCGTCTTCTTAAGCCGTAGCCATAGCCGTAGCCGAAGTCTTTGCCACGGCCGTCGGCTTTGAGTTTTTTGATATTGTGCGCATGGCCGGCGGTCGCTCGAGCGACCTTTTAGCACCTAGCGCTGGCTCGGTCGCATCCTTTGCCAAGTGAGTAACTGTGTCCAAGGCGCGTTAATCTCAAGAATGCAGACGTGTCTATAGTTAGAGCACATCTACGTCTACATTTGTAAATATTTAGCTCTTCTTATTCTCTTTTTTATTTCATTCATTTCTATGACGAGTTCAGGCAATCAAATAAATTATTCAAATAATTACAATTTTATTTCAAGAAACCAATTTAAAGTCCTGTACATTTTTAAATTGTATTGTATAATTTAGAAATGTTGTTGGCCCTTTTGGTATACTTCACTTTCTTTCCAGTTCTGATGGATTCCTTAAAGTGTCTAGTACTGCTTTGGGGTCCACTGCAGTGCTTATTTGTTGAATCTGTTATCAATTTAAAAATTTTTCAAGGATAACCAAAATAAACTTGTCTCGATGGAAAGTAAATTAAAATAGAAATAACCACTTTCCTTTTGCAACAAGCCTTTTGAAAGTATCAGCAACAAATTTATTAATTTATTTGCTTGTTTGAAGTCGTCTTAAATCGTATTTTGTATTTGTACTTATAATATCAACGAGCACTTGTTTAGTCTTCGGCCTTTAGGTTTTATGTTTATGTCGTTTTGTTGAGGGATTTAAATGTGGCCTCAGCCGCAATCCAAAAAGTGATGTAGTTGTAAGCTCAAAATGGCAAAAAAGTGTTGTAAAAACGTACATTATGTTAAGTAAAAACAAAAACAATAGCAAAACAAAATACTTTTGTTTGTTGCTAACTTGCATATTATGCCGAAAATTCCGTGCCATTTGTTTCCGAAAAGAGAAAATTTTGAAGCAGATTAAATATGTACACAAATTATAAGAGAACTTACCTAACAAGCAATAACAATCAAATCTGGGGACAGAGAAGTATATAGTACATGAATACTATACAAAAAATAGAGAACTAACCAACTAAACCAATATTTACAACTCTGAACGGACTTGAATCAGACAGCTTTATATAAGCGGTGGATAAGAGGGGGCGGGCGTATGTGTAATGTTTCTTAAACCTTTATCCAAAGGCAATCGAATTCGAATCAAAAATGATCAAAAACCAAAAAACAAAGCAAAAAACATCCAACTAAAAACAAAATAAAACAAAAGCAAAAGTACTGCAAACACAAGAATCTTCAAATTAAATATACGAATGAAAAAAGATAAACAAGATTTGGCCATGCATTAAAACGTGACGTTTATTTTGTATGATAATTTTAAAAGTTATTTTTTATACGCAACTGATTTCTCCTTTACATTACTTGCAAATGTCCTTTGCAGCACATGTGTTTATGTTGTTGTACGAATTCGATTAGGCTTAGCGTATTGTAAATAAAATAGTGCTATTTAAAATTAAAATTCAATAAATCAAAAAGGCGCCCTGGCCTGTACATTTCTTCAAACTTGCAAAACAAAATACCTTTTTAACTAACTTGAGAATTAATCAAATTGTATGAAAATTATGCCACATAAAAAGTATATTGTATAGCACTTAACGTTTAATTAGCATAAATGAAAAAACAAAGAAAGCTGAAATTCAACTAAACGAGACGTGTAAACAATGAACGAAGAAATTGCAATTATTATTCAATAATTTTTAATATTAATTTTATTATGCAAATATGCGCAAAAATCACCCAAAAGCTACAGAAAAAATGAATGAAACACGCATTTTTACATTGAGCTAAGCTAATTAATTAAATACAATAGTTAATAGTTTAATACGATTACGATTAATTAACTGTGCAACTGTGCGAAATGTCTTGTAAGTTTGTTAAACGCTGCGTATGCGCAATGTTTATGCAATGTAACTGTAATATATACATAAATCGATAAATGTCAGCTAAAGCAAAAACAAAAAAATAAAAACAACAAATAAATAAAACAAATTTGAAAATAAACGTACGTTAAACAAAAGGAAAATCCAAAATCTAAAGCTAGTTAAAATTAAATAATATTAATATAAATAATATAAAAAACCGACTATTTTAATGTTTGAAATACAGAAAAGTAAAAAAAAATACAACACAATACCCGTAAATTGTTTTCGTTTGGCAGAGACGACTATCGAAGCCCGTTTGTTGATTTAAACAACTGACCTCCAACAAGCATTTCTTCATTGATTGAGCTGGCTGGTTGACTGGCTGACTGATTGACTGATAGACTGACTGCCTGGCTGATTGAGCGCATGACAGCTGCCTATCAATGCAGGGACAATAATAATGCACATCGCAGAACGACCGATAGTGTTAAAGTTTCCAGTACCTTGTCGAGTGCAATAGATATTGTTATCTTATCGTCGTGGATGCAGAGTGCAGTTTTCCACTATATTCTGATAAAAATTATCGGACGTGCACTCATAAATTGCAATGAAACAACAAATGGGTAAACAACCACCGACTAACCCAACCCTACCCAACCCAACTGGACCCAAGCCCAACCCAAGAGTGCCCCAGAGAGCTGTTCGGTATCGCCTATAGGATGACAACTACGAAAACGACAACTCTAGTGAAGACTTTCCGGTCTGTCTGTTTGCTTTCCGTTGTCTCTTAATATACTATACCAATGACACCTAGCACTTTAAATATATACACCATACCCCAACGTTGGGTTTCTTATCTCTACCGTACCTTCAAGCTCGTATTCTCGTATACGAGCATGCATGTATATGAGTGCATAGTTGTACAAACAACTACATCAACAACTCTCCTTTACCTACGCGAGCCGCATTGCCTGACTGACTAACTGACTGATCCAACGCAGGGGCATTGCGTACTACAACTATAGTCAGTTATCTTTGTGATTCATTAGAAAAAATCTACGTTCTACCTTATGTTAGTTCTTAAATGCTTGGACATATCACAGGGGGCATTAGAAATACCAAGCGGCCCACTTACCTGAATGTTACTGAACATTCAGGTACAGTTGGTGATCAGGTCTGCCTGTTTGATGAGCTGTTGTGTTTTTAATTAAGCACTCAAGAAGATCATCATTAATGTGCCTTCATTTACAATAAATTTGCAAACTTTAAATATAGCAAGCAACCAAACGACTTTAATTAACGTGTGTGTAGAGAAAGAATTCCTAATTAATTAAAACTGACAATGCATTTAATCAGTCGATAGTGAGCATCCAAATTATATTTTCACTTTCAGGAATTTCGTAGCTTTATTTTATTTTTTAATAATATTTGGTAAATTTCATTGAAAATATTTATTTTGCATTACAAGAAAGCTTCGTATACTATATTCCTATACTATACTCCATCAACTCCATTTACGTCTCAACTGTGACTAAACATATAGTATGTTTTTCTTCCTATTCTTTGATCCAAAGCGGTTTTTTTAAAGAGTATTTAACTGTTGGACTTCCTCAACTGTAATATTCCACTAAATAATCGTGTTTTCATATGTGTGAAAAGCCATCAAGAGTATATATGGTTAAGACATTTTTAGAAAGATGTAGAAAAGAGTTATCATGAAATTTCTTATAGGCTCTGCTCTCAATTATTCTCATTTATATAATTAGTAAATTTGTAAATTATTATTTTTTTTTTGAAGTACTAGACAGTGTCAGCAGTACAATGCTTTATTTGTCCGCATGTGTAAATGTTTTTTGTTAATGTTCATGAAATAGAGATTCCAATATTGCAAAAAGAAGAACAATCGAAAGATTTATCTTGTTTCAAGTTCCTTGCTCACACTTGCATTTAAGAAGACTACAAACACTAAATAATTTATCAGTAATATTCGATTTTCCGAAAAAAACTCGCATTGGCTGCTCAATCTTCTTTTAATTCACAGACAAAATATAATTTTTCATATTTTCAATACTTTTAATATTCACATTTTGAAAAATTTATGTATCTCTATATCTGCTAAAGTGAGCAAAGAAATGTTTTCATAAATGTTTATTGCTAGGCTATAGTAAAAACTAATTTACAGCAATTTTACTCTCATATGACTTGACTACATTATGTATTTCCATTTTTTTAAGTATTATACTTTCCTGTGTATGCGAATCTTAAGCAAAAAAGTGATTTAACAATTTTCGGTGAAAACCCAAAAAAACCATTTTATTAAGAAATTCCTTTATTGATATTAATCGACATAGTTGTTATCAAGCCTTTAAACCCCCTAAAAAAAATAGTGTGTGCTATAAAGTCGAGGCTTTGTTTGGTTGATGGGTGGTTGTTGGTTGCTCGCCTTAGAGAAATGAAATGAAAATGGCGCCTTCTTCTTTGGAGAGATAGGAAGAAGGGACAGGGGGAACTGACTGACAAACGCTTCGATTTTTCTTGCACATATTTGCTGACTGCAACTTGACATTGCGACTGTCATGGCGCACATTTGCTCGATTTTCTTCATTTTGCTCCAACAGGCAGAAGCAACAACAACAACAGCCGAACAACAACCCAAGAGGCCAAACAACCCTGCTTTCGCCTTGGCTTAGAAATCTGTGTTTTGGGGTTGGTTTGTTTGCTGGGTTGGCGTTAGCCCGCATGCCAACTTTTCCGTTTCTGCTTCCTCTTCTTCTCCTTCGGCTGTCTGTCTGTTCCCTGGCTCTGGCTTATACCCATGCCAATGCCCGTACCCATACCCGCACCCATACCCACACCCGTACTCTAGTCGACAGTTTGTTGTAGACATGCGCTCTGAAGACGTTCTGGTCGAGGGTATTTGGGGTAGGGCTCTATATATATCTGTACGTATTTTTTTGTGTGTATGTGTGTGTGTGTGTGTGTGTGTGTGCGTACGTGCTTGTCTGTGTGACAGTTTGTTGAGCTCACTTTGCCAGCTATCTATTCATAAATGCCAAGCTGCTGCATGAACAAACCATCAATATGTAATTATTTTTGCATATGACAGCAAGCCACTCAATCGCAGCACTACATATAGTACATATATCGTTATATATGTATACTTTAATATAAAAACGTAGTAGCTTTAATGAAATGACAAGTAATTTTTTGTTCTGCCCAAGCTATGTTGTCATTGACATGGCTAACAAATTTTGAGCCCTAACTGGAAAATTTCTTCACATTTCAATTCACAAAAAAAGCTATTTCACTAAGTAAATGAGACAATATAATATGGACATTATTTGCATTCATGCACAGAGGTTGAATTAAATGTTTGAAATTAAAAGAAGACCGCTTTGAAAAATATTTCATACAAAAAATGTACAGAGTAAATTGGAAAAGGTTTGTTTTTTCATTTGGTAAAAAGTTTTCCTTCAAACTGAACAGTTAATTATTGACATGTGGATTTTGTGGCAATATTCAAAATAGTCCCGTTAGTAATCCTGGCAAATCATCAAAGCGATCAACCATCGTTTTCTGATTTTATCTGCTCATTCCACTTGTTTACCAGTTACTTTTTCATCTGTTTGTCAGTTTTTTTATTCATAAATATACAAATGTATTTTAAAAAAATGACACCAAAAAAAGCATCTATTGGAAAAAAAACAAGAAAAACAAAAAAGAGCAGCTGCATCCATATCCACATCTAGAGCCATAGAATCGAAAAAAGAATGGGGATCGCCGCATCGACAAATGCGGCAGAAATTGGGAAAGATTTTCTAAACACAAAAAGGCAGTTTCTGGGTTCCAAGATGAAATAAAAACATCTTTAGAAATTGAAAACAAAGTAAAACATTTTTTTAAAAACCCCTCAATATTTAGTTGAAGTATTTTTTTCAAAGTCAATGAAATATATCTAACCTAACACATAGTATAATACTTGACATTTATTATTATTTTTCAAAGAGTTTTCTTGCTGTTTTGGCACTGTTTAAATTGCTTAAATATATACAAAATACAAACAAACTTATACAAGTAGACGCTTAACATTTGTTTAAAGAACTCAAATTATTAACTTTATTTTCGCGTATATAAAAATATTATGTTTCAATTGACATTGTTTGGATTTTTGTATTATTTTAAAAAGAATTCGTTATCGTGATAGTGGTTTTTATTGTGCTGAACGTTTGACGATTGTTATGTAATTCTTTGAATCTGATAGATAAAGGAAAAAACCTGATGAAAGGCTAAAATTAATAAATAATTAATTTGAAAAATTGCGACTACATTTTAGAAGAAAAACCTGGATTCCTAAGTGATTTCAATGTTCAAATACGGTACGTGCTTCGCTACGTATAAAGTGAAATAATGGAAAAATTTAATTAGAATATCAAATTCATTTATTCAAACAAAAAATATTTTATTTTATTGCTATCTGTTTTTAAACTTAATACAAAATATTTGGATAAATAATATGTTTTGTTTATCCATTTTGAGCATGAATAAACAAACGGCTGGGGTACCGACTCTGGAACAGCCAACATAAAGTAGGCCATGTGAAAAACATGATTCCTCCAAATGTACACCAAAGACGTGAAATGTTTGCCCTTCGGCCTTGTTGATGGACATCGCAAATGATAATTGTAATCGTTTGAACTCAAATGGCATATAAATTGGAATCATAGGGATACGTGGTATCAAAAAAACTTCTCCTTTTGATTTACCAGCTAAGATCGTAGCTTCAATCAAATTTGGCAATAACTTTTTCACTCCCAATCTGGTGCCATTACATAGTTTTGGTGGATTCATATTTCGTAACAATATAATCACAGAACCAACTTTCAGATTTAAGCCATGCGGTGGCATACCAGCCGATTCCAATGAATTTAAAAATTCAGTTGGATAATTCATTGCTTCATCTTGATTCATAACACTGTCAATTGTTTTATATGTCGTGACTACACCTGGCAGTTTAGCTTGAATTTGAAAAAGTTTCAATTTGAACGCAAAATCCCCATTAATAAAATGATCCGCCACTTATTGAATTCATTTGGTACAAAAAATGTAAATAATAATGATAACGTTGAGCCCGTTCTTCA